AATTGGGGCGTTTTTCAATACTGGTTTTTACCTTTAATAGGAAGAGCATTTTAGAAGATAATATAAAATCGTGAAAATACATTCTTCATTATTTAAAACATTAGCATACGTATAACCTAAATTGTCAAAGTGACACATTCAAGTTATTGTTATTCCCATTCATTATTCTGCCATTAATTTGTTCGCAGGATATCTCATGAATGAATAAAACCATTATTATGAAACTTGCCATGATGATTAATATTAGCATAACTTAGAATTGTGACACTTTTCAGTAACTCAAAATCATCGTGACGTCATCCAGGCGCTATTTTGTGGAAATCGACTTTTAATCATATCTTCATAACGAGTCATCAAAACTGAACCATATTTAAAACACACGAACTTCAGGTCAAGGTTCGACATAACGTCTCATCAAAATCCGCGCGCGTCTGAATTTTAAAATGCTCAAATTCACTTTTTAATCAAAACAGAGTATGTTCTAGGCCATTTAAAGAATTTCGAAAATTATGCTCGCGCGTTTTTGCGTGTAACGCCATTACACAACAATGAAACGCAATTTTTTGTTCTTTCATGATATTTCATAACGGAATGCGCGTCCGTTTAAATTTGAAATTCAAAGAAAATCCCAAATATGTCAACTAATGTATGACTAGAAACTGGTAATCTAACAGATGGCCATCGTACAAGTTATAGGTCAACTACAGATCGGGTGATTTATAAAAAAAAATACAAATACAACCCCCTCCATAGCAGCTGGGATATACCAGAGATTCGCCGGAAAAATAACGATGTTTTAATGACGTCACTATATGGACCAACATTGCCCAAGCAGACGACATCCCATAGAGAATGAACATAATTGCAAAGCTATTATTTGTCAAATTATAATGAGTTAAGTGTATATAAATGTAATGGCATGTCAAACCATTTAAAAGGGGATATGACCCGATTCTGATAACTAAAATATTTTGCTTGTAAATACACAGGGTTGGGGTTAATTAACAATCAAAGAAACCAGACTTTCAAATTGAAAACCCCCTGGAATGATATTAAGGACGGAATTGTTCCCTCTTGAAACGCCGAACATACCCCGATGTGTACAGCTGAATATACAATGGCGTCTTATTTTGTTTACAAGCGACAGATTCCTTTATTTTTGTATCGCTGCATTTGTCATCAAAATAAAACCATGCGCGGGGTTAAGAGTGAGGCAATAGATTATACATTTAGCCTGACGGTAGTGAAGTAAGAGAAAGGACACAAGAAAAGATGAAAACACAGGCACTGAAAATGTGTGAGATGTCATGGGGCATCGTCTGCTTGTGCAAGTCATGTCCATACTGTGATCTCACACATCTCAGTAGCGTTCGGAGAGCTCTTCCGGTGCTATGCCCATGCTGTATTTAAGCGTTTTGTAATTTATAATAATCGTTACTTCGAATATTTCCAAGCATTGAATTTTGATAACCCTGTCGAATCAAAGTTTCAACTTTGCAATAATTGAAATAAATTTAGTTTTTAAAATCAATGAATATCAACTTTAAGATAAATTGCCGTGTGCACGAGGACATGTAATACAGAGCATATAATTATAGGCAAAAACATGATTACACAAAATTCATCACAGCTCTTTGGGATGCACCTAGACCCCAAATTGTTCTTTTATTTTGATTATATGAGTCGGAGATATGATTTCATTTCTCATTTGGCCATTAAGTACATTTTAACGTCATCATAATGGCCTTGGAAGTCAAAATACGAATTTGCATATTATGACGTCGACATATTTACAGAAAATGATTGTATCTCTGCAAATATTGATCTTCTTCTAAATTTTGATACGCTGTAGCTGAGACAATTCTTTACAAGATTATTACCAATATCTATTCATTTTGATGACGTCATTAGATTTATTGCTTAATATGCGTCTTATGCCTATGGGAGGTGAATGATACTACATTCCAGTCTAGACTTGTTCATTATGTTGCGTATGTAGTGCGTCGAAATATCAGTTCAATGATTGGTAGGCTCTGCAATCAGGCGAAAATTTGAGCTTGTTTAGTAAATTAATCATATAACAATTGTCTATCGAATTCATGAAGGGGGCGCTATACCACTTTTAATCATTTTCATCGTCATTTAAAACAAATAAATCATCATCATCAATATCTTTATTATCGTATTTATGAATATTATCATTAGATCATCATCGGCACACTTTCATGATACAAAAATAGCATACGGTATCACCTAATTCGTCAAAGTGACGAATTAAAGTCTAGTTATAATTGTTAATCATATCATTATGATCATCTGTATTATCAGCATATTCTACAATGGCAGTAGTATAGTATAGTCATGTAGAAGTAGGCCTAGTAGTAGAGGTATCATTCTGATCCTTATTATCCTGATTATCTTTTGCAATACGTCTATATAGACGATAAACTCACGACAATTTACAATTGTCATGAATCATTGTCTTTAAGCTTACCATTAAATGCATCTGGTTCGAATTTTGCTCAGGTATGTGGTACGTGATGATTTAAATGGTAGAAATGAACTTGTGTCCTATTCATTCTAGTCTTATTCATTTGCATTATGTTTTATTCATTCAAGTTCTAATGTTTCTGACTGTTTTAAGACAATATTTTTTTTGTCGATCATAGTTCTATGTAGCTTGATATCTCACGGTAATTTTGAGAGAAAAGCAATGCAAGCAATGATTTCTGAATTGCAGCGACAATCGCGTTCGCCTTTGCTGTCCTTCAATAATATTTGACAAGCAGTATTAATTAATTTTTCAAGGACTCAAGATACATTCGTTTAACAGTTGATTACCCTCGGTTGATTCTTTTGTTCGGATTATTTGGCGGGGAAAATGTATTATTGAAAATGTATTAGTGAATGTATTATTATTCTTATTTGTTCATCGTCTCTACGATGCCCTTTGAATCAAAAACAGATTTTAGTGTTAGGCTTCCTGAAAGAAATTTCAATTGTTGTTAAGAATTTTTTGGTTGCACTCTGTAGATTATGATGATGTGTTTGATTTTTTTTTCAATACAAGATCAAACACATGAAGAAAATCTACTGGCTGCATGCCAATAAGTTCTTGACAACAATAACAAAATGTGAGCTAGTGCTATTCGGTGTGGCGTACACTTGGCAATCACATGGTAGATAAAATTATGATCATCAGTACTGGGTCAAATAAATTAAAGAGAACTGAATTTGAACCCGGGCCATAGGCTACCCCCTCTCGTTCTCTCTCCCTCTCTCTCCCTCTTCGTCGCCTTACTTTTCCCTCTCTTACCTCCCTGTGCATTTGTATGCCTCGATAATACAAAAAATAAACAATAAGATTCTTCCTCTTCCCCTCCTTCTTCCTAGTACATGTAGTAGGAGTAGTACTAGAAGCAGTATCACAATAATAATGACAACAATGGTTATTATGGTTGGTGGTGTTACTAATGTTATTTTTGTAATTATTATGTTTGTTATTGTGATTATTATCCTTATCATGATTATTATCGTTAATATAAGTTATTATTGTAATTATTATAATCATTACTATTGTTATCTTTATGATGAATACGAACGTGATGATTTTGATGACGATTAGTATAAGTATATAGTATTATTATAATTGTATGGGACATGACTTTTTTCAAAACTGGATTCTACATTCCCGTCTTTCGCGAGCAATATCTCCGTCGTTTTAGCTTCGTTTACGCTGAAATTCGAGTATGTTGTAGCTGAGACAATAAGCTATCTTAAATTTGCCCTTTATTTTGTCTCAAATTTTAGTTAGACCAGCCCACCCATTCTTGTTCAAAACAAGTATTACAAATCTAGTTATTATTATTGTCATCAACATTCATTCATTTCATTTCATCTACATTATTTCATGAAATGCATTCAGAAAATGAAGAAAAAAAACACGAAAATAACCCGTGAAAAAAAAATATTGTCGGCGAAGCATTTGTCGTAGTACTAGTAGCATTTGTATTTTATGGGACACTTTTTTGGCGGAACAATTGTCGGCGGAGCAAATGTCACCGGAGCAAGTGTCGCTTCAGGCGGAGCAAATGTCGGCGGAGCAACTGTTGGCGGAGCAATTGTCGGCGGAGCAAATGTCACCGGAGCAATTGTCGCGTTTTGCGGAGCAATTGTCGGCGGAGCAATTGTCAGCGGAGCAAATGTCGGCGGAGCAAATGTCGGCGGAGCAATTGTCGGCGGAGCAATTGTCAGCGGAGCAAATGTCGGCGGAGCAAATGTTGGCGGAGCATATGTCGGCGGAGCAAATGTCGGCGGAGCAATTGTCGGCGGAGCATATGTCGCGGAGCAAATGTCGCAGAGCAATTGTCGCGTTTTGCGGAGTAAATGTCGGCGGAGCAATCGTCGGCGGAGCATGTGTCGGGTTACCGGGGTAGGAAGCACTTTTTTGTCCATTTTTTCAGGAAATATTTTACCCCTACTCAGCCAGCCGGTAAATAAGTGGGGGGGGGGGGGGAGGGAAGGGGGGGGGGATGGGTAAGACCACTTTTTTGGTGTTTTGGCCTTCTTCGTGAGAATTTTTCTTTTTTTAAATAATTATTTTTTTTGCTGTTGTTGACCCGTCAGCCCCCACCCCATGGATCCGCGCCTGCAAAGGATCCAGCAAATTTGTCAGCCGCTGCTTTTTATGTTAATAGTTAATATGAGTTCATAGGTGATCTTTGACAAAGGCCTTTTTTTAAACTTCATTTTTCCTGGGTTACCATCTAACGTTTAAAGTAATCAGAACTGTATTAATTTCCTTTACTTTTCGATGCATCAATTCCTTTACTCATACGATTTATAAACTTAATGTTCATATCATTTTTTATAATTTCCTCTCAAAAGACTAAACAAAATATCGTATTGAATTCTCCGTTGAAAAAGAAAAGGGAAGAGAGAGAGAGAGAGAGAGAGAGAGACCTACAACAAAAAATAAGAAGAAAAGAAAAAAAACTGACCCCGAATTGACACCGGTGTTATGTCCACAGTGGTGTTTTCAATATTCAGCAAAAAGAAGAACCTGTTTGCTAAGATTCGACGTCCTTGGGTCTTCATCAGGCGTGGAAAGGCCTGTTTTGCGTCAAGAATAAACATATAAACAATACATGATTACGATTATTGATTACACTCAAATTTAAATAGTTATTACATTGAAATGAATTTCAAAAGAAATGGACAGTAGAAATAGTATGCAGGTTGTTTGTTATTGAATTCCTACTGAAACGCTTTAATCTTTATTCTTTAATCTCATCCTAATTTCTTCCCCCGCCTATTTCGGGTCTTTTCTATTTACTTGTCTCGCGTCTTTTAAATTAATTTTACGTTTAGCACGACTGATATCTTTGATCATACTTAAATTCACAATTACACTATGTTTCAATTTAACCATCAGGAGAAGTGTCATAATTACAATACTACAATACTTGATGTTTCTTGTCAAATGTATAGTTTTATAATTTGTAATAAATGTTTTATATGTTTATGGTTTGTATATTAAAGTCATGAGGATCTGTACATGCTAGAGCTAATTAACAGAAGGCTCATTACACATGATGAATAAGGAACATGCTACCTCATATTCCTTATTCATCCCTTCTTCCTTTCCATACTCATTGAATTTTGATATAGAGTTTTAATATGATATTTTTTTATATATATATATATATATATATATGATGTCATAGTTCTAAGACTAATGTACTTTTAACTTGTAAATAAATGTACTTTTCAATTGTATTTCAATGGCAATTCAGTTGTAAGACTGCGACGATGAAATTTGTTTAATAAAACCCTTCTATATATATATACGAATCATAATCATAATAAAGCAATTCTCAGGTTTTGTGGTTCGGCGGATAAAGTCACCGGATTGTGGACAACAGGGTACGGAGTTCGAATCAATGCTACATCACTAACGTCCTTTGTCAAGACATAAATCTGCATTTGCCACACTTTATCCAGGTTAGCTAAATAGGTATACCTTCCCAGAACTTCCTTTAATTATCTTTAAAATGGTAGAGCGCAACTAGTACAACACTCTTTTCCCTTCTTTTCCAGTAGCCATACTTTTCGATGTTCCTTTTCTTGACTTATGGTCAGTGAGGGTTTGAGTTAAAGCCGATTAAAATCAAAAGTTATGAATTTTTGAAGGTACAATCAATAACACATAAATTAGCAACTCTGTGACGTACCTTGCGAGTGTCTCCTTCCATTTGCCCTGTACTACAAACCTTCAAAAATCGTAATTTGTTTTGATGAATAATATATACATGCTTTGTGACGATTTACATTCACCTAAAATGTGATTAAATTTTAAAAATATAGTTGAGAGAAAATGGTGATAAAGTAGTGACTTCAATGCTAAATGTATTATTATAGGTAAACTGAAAATTTGAGTTAAAACGGAACATTATTAATAATACAAATTGGAAAAAACTGAATCTAAACGATTCCTTATTTCTCCCAACTACCTGTATATTATTAAAATTTAATTACATTTTAGGTGAAAGTAAATCGTTACGAAGCAATGAATTGGCTCTATATATTATTCCAGACATTTCAGTGTTGAAAGATTTTTAAAAGTCTGTCTTATGTCTTATTTTCATGGAAAAACGGTTGGGAAAATTCAAACATGGTTGGGAGAATTTACTAGTTAATCAGTGTTAGAGGCAGAGAAAACCATGAATATCTTTGTGGTTTGAGAATCTTTTTAGGATTTTTTTGCCTGTTATAGGTTTAGTACAGTAGAAGGAATATAATATGTAACATTTCACACACAAATTACACATTCTTCATCAATCTTCAACAATGTTACTGAGTCACTTTAATATATTGTTTTGTAGTTCCTTTTGTAGTTATGGACTTGTTGATTTAATTACTCATTATTCTTAAGTATCATTTGAGATGTCCACACTTGTACGAGCACTCCTTTTTATTGGACCCCTCTGTTTCCAATATGTATTCCTACGTTTGTTGTGAATGTTTATAATTGATTTGTAATGTTTTGTTGGAAACATAAATAAATTGAAATTGAAATCGCAAATTAAACTAACCCTCACTTGAAGGGGTCCAGCACCAATCCCACTGAATCTAACTCCGTACTGTCGTTGGGTTGGGACTGAAGCATAAGCCGTGATGGTCCCAGCTGGGGTGGGCGAGCTCACTTGTATGTATTCATACATACACACCGTTGCTAAAAAGAAAACAAGACAATGGTATGTAGATGAATAGTATAATTAAGTTGGTTTCTATTGAGACAAGCATAAGCCGTCAAAATGAAACCTAGATCACTACATATTGTGAATTGATTTGCAAAGTTTCACCATTCGACTGACAACATGAATAAAATTATTTTGGACACGTCTTAATCAGTAATTCGACTAATAAAATCAATTATTCGTAACAGGTGAATGAAATTATTAGTATCTAAATAGCTTTAGTAAAATGGTAGTAGTAGTCATGGTAATGGAAGTAGTAGGAGTCATGATAGTAGTTGTAGTGAGTAGAAGTAGTAGTAACAGCAGCAATAGCAGTAATAGTAGTATTAGTAACAGTATCAGTAGTAGTAGCAATAGTAGTAGTGGTGGTGGTGGTAGTAGTTGCAATACAGTAGATATAAATAGTGGTCGTGGTAGTAGTAGTAGTAGTAGTAGTAGTAGTAGTAGTAGTATTAGTAGTAGTTAGTATATTAGTAGTAGTAGTTTTATAAGTAGTTGTAATGATTATCAAATAATAATAATCATCACTATAATAATCATCATAATAATAACAACAAAAATATCAATTAAATTAATAATGATCATAACTATGGAAGTAAGAATTAAAATGATATATTAGTTTGATGATTACCAGCATTTGACGTGAATTGAGCACTAGATGCCGAAATATCTAGATGATTGACATTTCTCCGCTGTGTGATCTGCAGGTTTATTTGTTTTGCTGTGTCAAGAACATATACGACAAGTGGCACGAAAGCCTCTTCCAGTGGCAGTACAAAGTACTCGATGATAACACCCAAGCAAGGAGTCGGTACATCTATAACGTTGTGCTGCTTGTAAACAATGCGAGCTTCACCACATCCTAAGTTTGACCAATGAAAATAAAAAGATGAGAACATTTAGATCACAAATTGATATCGACTACTAAAAACTCGATTTTTTGTGTATTTAAAGCTTCTCTTCAGAATCGGCTTCAAATCGTCTAAAATCGCTTCCTCCTCCAAGGGGGCCTGAAACACAATGAAACTTTAATTCTATTTATCATATGACTATTCAAATCATCGACCACTAAGATTTTAGAAAGTTTGAATATTTATATCCTTAAATGCTTTTCTTAATTATTCAAAAATCGGGTCGTAGTCAGGTTTGCAGTGGGGGTTTTCAATTTCAATTCAACTTTGTTTAATTTGAATAAAAGCAGACATAACTAAAGGTCAAAAATAGAGAGCAGATGCAAAAAAAAAAACTATCATGGAACCATGGGTACCATAAAAAACCGAGGGGTCTTCTCAAGATAGTCCCCTTTAAATAAAATAAAAAAGTAGAAAGTGCTCGAATGCAAGAGGAATGGATATTCAAACAGTTAGCTATTTGACTATTATGCAAAACATTAACAGATTTGAAGATGCTATATAACATTGAACGATATATGACAAAAAAGAAAGGCATAATAACTTTTAGATTTTAAAAAAAGGTGTAATTTCTTAAATTTCCTCTGAAAAATGTTATAAAAAAACAAATGATCTGATGTCGGTTGGACGAGAATGACATATAATTGGTGATTTGTGTCTGAAAGTGAAGAGAAAAAAGTTTATTATGAAACCATGAATGATATGTTTTGCTCTAGTATGGTAGTATAATGATGTAACGAACTATTCAACGCAAGCGTATTGTATAGACTTTAAGGTAAAAGGCCATTTTTTATGTTTAAAAAGAAAGCAATGTTGCACATAAATGATAATTCAGTTGATATATCTCGAGAAAGACTGTTCTTGAAATGTGTTAATAAGTCTAATAGAGCATAATCAAATACAATATATTGAGTATTATATCCCTTATCGTAAGATTGTTGCATTAGGTGTGTACACAACAAGAAAAAGAATAGTTTTACTGTAAAAGACGTTTCCTGCCGACTAGATCGAAATAGTTCATATTTATTGATGACGTCACGCATAGTACCTTTTTTCCCTAGGGAAAAAAAAAGGTACTATGCGTGATGTCACAATAAAAAAACGCATATTCCTGAACTATGCGTTTTCCAAGCGAGCGCGTACATGATTTCAAATGCCTCCGCGCGGTCAACTCCCCTGGTGTCACACGGCGCTCAAGCCATTATGCAATTTACGCTGTGCGATAACTGCACTACACTAGCGCCAGCTAAACATAATACATCCTTCAATGTTATATTTTAGCCGTGCAATTTTCTTTTTATTTCTTTTCGATCTGAACGTAGATGTGAATGTGAGTATAAGGTTCATGTTATTATAGAAGTGTACAAGGAATAATACAGATGGAAGGGATATAAAACAAATATAAAATGACTCATTCTCGGAACAAGCTAAATCTATTCGCACTCAGGAACATCATTAGTACTTTTCTCCCTCGGGCCGATGGCCCTCGGGAGAATAGTACTAGTTGATGTTCCTTCGATGCGAATAGTTTCAGCTAGATCCTCGTGTGTCATTGTATATTTGTATACAATGACATAACAAATCTTTGAACCATGTAAAAGGCACCTCTCGTAAAAATATACCAACGGTGTAGTTTTCGTCTTAAGGATTTGATTGAATAAATTGTGTAAATCTATAAAAGCCATTTCAGTAAAATACATATCAAACCAAGCTGATTCTCTTTCACAAGGAATTGTGGTACAAGAGGTCATATTAAGGATATATTGACTGCTTTGAGAGGCATAGTGGTTTCTATAGGGTCAAGGGAAACTCACAACCTGCTATGACCCCAAGGCGCTTGCGCCGCGGGGTCATAGCAGGTTGTGAGTTTCCCGAGACCCTATAGAAACAACTATGCCTCGAATATTAAAAGCAGTCAATATATATTTTATATACCGAAAAAAAGGAAAAAGGAATGGAAAGGAAAAAACCCCAGTATTTTGCGATCGAGACTAGTACACAAAATGGCGATCGGTCGTCTGCGCTGCGTGGATTGGTAGATTCGTCGCCTGAATGCAGCGACCAAAATCGAATTGCACTCAAACACCGTTAACGGTATTGCGCATCGGTCATCGCACAAAAGAAACTTATACGGTAACACGTAAACCAAAATGGGGATCGCAGCAAAATGACGTCACGTTTCACAGCCATGGAAAAAGTGCTATGAAAAATGGATATAAACCGGTAGAGCCGGGGAAAATGACTATGAATTTCAATTAGCGGGCATGGTTAAGAACATGACTGCATTTTCAACCAATCAGAAGACAGGATTAGTAGAGAATCTTAATATGAGGTATATAAAAACTATTATAAACGATTTTTTCAAGATTTTTTTGAAAACAGGAGTGACTTTAGCAATTTCCAATTTAAAGGGAATGACGATGCCGGTTTACAATGAATTATTGTAAATATAACGTAAAGATTTTAGGATAATGTATATCCCTTTTTTCTTTTCTTTTTTTTACAGTAGAAGGATTTAAGTCACCATTCATCATTTGAGTTTCTTTAAAATTGTTAACTATGTTGCATTTACAGGGTTGAAATTACAGATGTTTACATGGTTGAGGCAGAAATTTAAGAATCATTAATTTCAAAATCACAATTATTTACAGGAAATATATTGCACACTTAGTGCAGTGATTGGCAACTTAATTTTTATCATATTCATTTCCATTTAATAATATAATGTGGAACCCCTTTCTTTGATTTGCATGTAATCCCGTTCATAACTTCCCATGTGTTTATTGTTTCCAATATAGATGCATAATAGATATTCTCTCCTGGCATCTTTTAAAAGTTAATCGACATAATCATGTACATCTGGTATCCTTCCAAAAAACAAACCTTCATTTCAGCAAGTACTAGATTACCTAAAAACTATTTTAACGCATAGGAACAAAATCGGAATGATTCACGCTCATGCTGCTTTTCAAGTTTCAAGTAATCAACAATCATGCGAACTTCTAATACACCCACGTGAATACAGATAACAGGCCTACCATCAACAAAATACAGAAAGTGTCTTTGCAGTTTGCAGGGACAAACCCCTGTCAGTCGTACACTGTTAAAACAAGTATTAAAAAACTGCGGGTTAAAAAATTGTTGATTAAAAAACGCTCAACCATGGTTAAAAATGTAGTGTTGATTAAAATTTACTTTTAATCTTGCGTTGGTTAAAAACAGTGTAGATCAAAATTATTCCTTTTAACCTATGTTGGTTAAGTCTAAGTCGTTGGCAAAAATTGTAACCCAGCATGGATTAAAAACAAAATTCCGACAGTAATGATAGCCCCCTTCCGGTTAAAGTTTAATCAATGTTGATTAAAGTACTGGTCACGTGACCCAACGGAGCGATATCGAAGCCCGTAGCTAGCGATCGCTCGACATACAAATAAAGTACATGCAAAGTACATGCAGTTTACGCGTGCGACAAAATTAACAATGGAGGTTGTCGCGAGGACCTGAGAAATGGGGGTTTGGACGGTCTTATCTCCGTGTTTTCAGGTAAGAAATTATTTTAATATGATCATCATCAATTCTAAGATTGTAAGGAAGAAGTGAAATAAGGTTCTTGCTCAAATCAAAAACGATTTGTGTTCCCTAGGCTGTACGTAGCTCAACCAATAAGTAACATTTTACTTGCACCGTGCATCTGGCTCTCGTAAGCACACACACACACTCATCAGTCTGCAAGAATCTTCAACCGTGAAGGAGGCAGACCCAATTAAAGAAGAAGTGTAGGCTTATTACGGATCACCTGCCCAAATTGCATGCATGAATAATAATCTTATTTTTTAAATCTAATTGTTTAAAACAATTAAATATAAAATTTGAGCAAGAACCTTATTTCACTTCTTCCTTACAATCTAAAGCTACAGTCCCATATACGTCCCGGACCGTCCCGGACCATCCCGGACCCCATCCGGGGTGATCCGGGATTCGGTCCGTGTTGACACCGTGTTGGCACCGGGGTGGTCCTGGATGGTCCTGGATGGTCCTGGATGGTCCTGGATGGTCCTGGGCGGTCCGGGAGTCGACCCCGGATGTTTTTGACGGTCAAAAACTGCCGGGGTGGTCCGGGACGGTCCGGGACAATAGTTTGATCCGGGGTGATCCGTGTAGCCACCGTGCTGGGTCCGGGGTCATCCGTAGTGGCGCCGGGGCGGTCCGTGTTGATCCGTGGCAGTCCGGGAGTGAGTTATTGACCGCCCAGGACCATCCAGGACCATCCAGGACCATCCAGGACCATCCAGGACCACCCCGGTGCCAACACGGTGTCAACACGGACCGAATCCCGGATCACCCCGGATGGGGTCCGGGATGGTCCGGGACGGTCCGGGACATATATGGGACCGTAGCTTAAAAGCATCACACTTTTTTTGAACAAAACATCCCGGACCATCCCGGATCACCCCAGACCATGGTCCGGGATGGTCCGGAGTGGTCCGTGCTCGTCCGTGCTGGTCCGGCTTTATATGGGACTGGGGCTTTAGCATTGATGATAATCATATTAAAGAATTTCTTACCTGCAAACACGAGGATAAGACCACCAAACCCCCGTAAGTTTAACCAACATCGTGTGAATCAAAAAAGAATTAACCTACAATGGTTACAATGTTAACCAACGACCCATGTAAGTTTAACCAACATCATGTGAATCAGCCCCGAACAAAGCATAAATAACCAACAAAAGATTAAAGTTTTAATCAACAAATGGTTAAAGTTTAATCAACACCATTTTAACCAACATTGAGCAAAATTTTTTAACCAATAATTGATTAAAATTTTTAATCAACCACAGGTAAAATTTTAATCAACAGGCTGTTGGTTTAAGTTTAACCAACGATTGTGTGATTTACCTGGTAATCCGTGGTTGATTAAAATTTTAACCAACTTGATTAAAAATTGTAATACTTGTTTTAACAGTGTAATGCATAACAGGGGGTCTGAGATTGGAGACCTTACAGAGCCCCCAGTCAATAGACCGAAGACGTACAGACCAGGGGCGGATCGAGGATTTTTTTTTTTTTTTTTTTTTTTTTTTTTTTTTTGGGGGGGGGGGGGGCCCAAATTTATCAATTTGAAATTTAGTATGCTAAAATTTGAAAATTGTGCTGGACAATATTCGGGGGGGGGGGATAGTGAGCACTAATCTACGCCAGGGGGGGGGGTCCATCTCCAAAAAAGGTAAAATTAATGTGTTTTTTAACGTTTTTTTCCCCGGGGGGGGGGGGGGGAGGAGGGGGGCCGGCCCCCTGGATCCGCCACTGGTACAGAGCTATAGGCTCTCCCGAGGGCTTTAGGGACCGTGGTAAAGTGTCAAATTAGAGTCTTTGCCTGGAGACTTGAGAGATTCAGTGGCCCATCGAGATTTAAGATGTAAGTACAATTGGGGTGATATAACAGTTGTAATTCCTCTTGTAAAACTTACCCACATCTCCCTCGGCTGGTCCAAGACGAAAGTGAACCCGGCCCTGTTGAGGCGTTCCTTCATTTTGTCTGTTGACAACCTGCAAAATATTAACATTGACAATGACGGATTAAAAAGTATTTCAGAGAAAGAGAGGAGTTCTTGAAAAGGTGCAACACTAATTTTTGAACTTTTTCATCCTTTTTATGTTTGTGTGGAAGAGTATCATATAGAAGATGTCCCCTAAAATCTTGCTGATCAAGATAATTATTTATGATTGGAAATCGAAATTTCATTTTTTGTTTTCCTAAACGATCTTTATAACACTACAGTCTATTGGGGAAAATGAGTATGGTAAAACCAGTCACTCGAAGATTTTTGAGGCACTTCATGATCATTTTTAGGGCTTTAATATTACACCATATCACAGACACTGGGAACACGTAGGGCGGTGCATCTCAGATTTAACAATGTTAAACGATGCCTTTAACTCCTCTGACAATCGCAATCATGTTTTTGAGGGGGAGGGGGTAGAACTTACAAATTGAACTTGAGTGCCAAGATCTTGAAGGCTCAGAAGCAATGACTCGTAGCATACGTCAGTCACATCAGCACTATTCAGTTCAATTATTACGTCATCATTCCTACATAAATAGTAACAGACATTAAAACTAACAGAATGTGCCGAAATATGAGGCAATCGTTTGGTTTTATTAAAATGATGGTAAATAGATGGAATAATCTTTTGAACTTTTGAACTTTGAACTTTGAAGTTGAGAATTCGGTTAATGACATTGACCGTAGAGCAGCGCCATATTAAAAAAACCTTTCAGTAACACGATCACAAAGGCTTTCGAGAAAAAAAAACTTTCCATCACCTTTTGAAATGTGCACATGTTACATTTTCAAAATATTTTTTGTATTGTTTCACAGTCCACAAAATAACAGTTTAGATATCCTTAAGATCAGCAAGAAACAACGATGACAGTAAATAATCGTTAACGCGAAATATGAGGAACCTTTTAAAAAGCAATGCTTGTAAAATATAGGTTCCCATATACCATTGAAGTATACAAATTCCAATGCAAAAAAAAAAAGACGAATCCGGAAAATACAATTGATACACCATGAATACAGGTATGTGGTTACTATAGTCATAATAGTCACTCGAGCATTAGGTAGCCCGAATATGATATGGAATAAGCAAAATGGGGAATTGAAATTGCGCTCGAGCTGATTTCTTGAAAGTCTTTAAGACCTTGGTTAGGGTTCAGATCTTACTTCAGATGGAGTTGTTTGGCCAGTCCATCTTCTTCGACCTCGACCAATCGATGTTCCCCCTCGGAATTGGTGCTCAGCTTTGCCCCAAAAGAAGTGAGTTTATCAGCATCTGCCTCGTCGTACTGCAGCATGATACGGTTCGTTTTCTATCCAGTCAAGAGATGGATAAAGATTTGGGATAAGGATTAATATATATATTCATACCTAATTATATATAACCCTAATTGTTGTATTATCAGGATATATATATATATATATATATATATATATATAACCCTACATGGTACTTAAACTGGACATCATTAAAACTGGTATATTTCCCTAAATCTAACCCTAACCCTAAATTGAAAACAATATAACTAATTAAACTAATGATTAATGATTAAACCTATTGTTTATTCGGAGGCCTTTTAAGTTTCCTCTACCTGCAAGCGTACGTATAGGTTAATAATTCTATTTTTCAATCGTTAACAGGACACGAAAATGTCCTGCCAATGACCATGTCTACTAAATGACTCATTTTTGCACTACATATGTCCGTCTAATGACGTTGTAAGATGTTTATACATTACACACACATATACATTTTACACATAATATAGGATTTCCCCGCCAAATTCGCGAGTTTGTCATTCAAATTCATTTGTCTTGCGTTCAAATTCGACGGTTTTAGTGCTGTCGGGTATATCTTGGGTTTATATTCCTTTTCTAGATTTCAAATCTATGAAGTTTTCGTTAGAATCTATGTATGTTTCATTCAAATTAATAAACAAAGTGCTTCTTTCGCTATTTGGTCATTCGATTTAGCGCAACACGATGTTCTGACATCGCGACGGTGTACTTCTAGCATTCTAATTCATTTGTAGCATTCAAATTAGCACTTTGTGCACTCAAATTAATGGTCAATATACATTTCTCGTTTATTAAACACTTTTTATAGCTCATTCGTTTTCGTTCAAGGCCATTTTTTCATGTGTTTTTCATCCTTCTTTATTTTCTTGCATTTGTACTCTTTATATACTTTTAGATTTATCAGATATTCATCAGCCTTTAAGTTTAATTGTTAAAAAAAAAGGACTTACATCTACGGACTTGATAGTCTCAATATTTGTGTAAATCTTCATGTAAGGAAGTTGTTTGTCTTGTGTTTCGTCATAAATTATCACAATTTCATTATGGAGGAAGGGTACAATATCGTGACTGGGTAGGTGTTTTTGTATCCCCACTTTTCCGGGGTATATGAACATGTCCGTTCAGAGATGCCATATCCCTTGAATAGGCCCCTTCTTTACCTAATGTCTGACTACAAACATATGCTTTGTCCTCAAAATTAATAAATTGAATAACAGAAAAGACCCCAATGGCAAATCATGTATTTAATTGCATTTTTTTAAAGCTGTAAACGTGTGTTGCATTTCTTCCCCCCAACATTCGTAACTTGAATAAACCTAATTCGAATACGAATGACAGGTGTTAATTTGAATGATAAAAATAACGATCTATAAATAAATATCTATGAAATCCTTCGACCAAAATCCTAAATTAAATACAAAGTCGGGAAAATTGAATGATAATTGGCATGGCAAAGCTGATCTGCGCTAGCTTAAATGCAAAGTAAATGAATTCGAATGACAAACTCACGAATTTGGCCGGGAAATCATATATATTTCTTTTTGGGTGTGTGCGTGCATGAGTGTGCGTGTGCGCGCGTGCGTGCGTGTGTGTGTGTTTATGTGTACATGTGTACATAATTACATGTTTATATGTAATGTAAAAGGAAATGAGAAAATAATGTTTGCTTTATTAATAGCAAAGTTCTCCATTTTTGCTGTCCTCCCTTTTGGAAATGTGTGCGTACAAGATACAAGTTTATGCTCAATGGAAATTATTCCCTTTTACTTGTATTAGTATAATGTCTTTAGATTATATGATACATCACTTTCTTAGTATTCTGATCTAGATCTTGTTTATAGTAAACAGGAAAATGTATACTAAATTACGAGGATTTGCTTTCTTTTTGTCATAGGTGGGAAAACAATGTTACCGTGATTCCTAAGGAAATGCCGATATATTCCAAATAGGAATAGAAATATTCAAATTTGAGACCAAATCTTGATGCAGATGATTGTGTTGTCTCAGATTTAAACTTGAAGGCAATCCTTTTCACTTGTTGTGATTTCAGCAGGCCTCAATAAATTTCTTTTTGATGATTCCAAACATCATAAGAATTTTTAATATGTTACCATTCTCAATAATTTCTACATTGTGTTATTTTCACAACAAAATCGCATGACCAGGGTTATAAACCTCCGTTTTAATACCCCCATGACATTGATTTCAATGCCACCCCTCCCCCATTCTGCCTAAGAGAAGACCAGCGGTCGGTGAAAAGCACAAAATCTCCGTTTTACCAGTTTTGTATAAATCATTTTGGTTGTTGCTATTAAATACAGGACTGAATTGAGACAAAATCCCCTGAAAAGAATTCCTCCTCACAAAAAGAAACTATGAAAATAATCGTTTCATAGGAGCAATAACCTCGAATATGACAGTTTCGCCGAAAACAATCTTCACATAATACAATGAACTATGCCAGTTCTGATTTATTTGAGTTTTTTGTGGTTTTACTTTGTAAGGGATCCGGGTTCTGAAAAGATTCCCGATTCTAAAAGCTGAGTAATAACAAGTCCATTGTACAGACAATGCCGTCGGGTACGATAACGCACTTTCAGATGACTTTAAGAAGAGAATATTTTCAGAATGGCTTCTGAAGCATGACAAGTCTTTCAAAATGCCGATAACCATTATAATTATTGCTGACTTTGATGTGAACTCATTCGGTAATCGGTACATGTTGTGAAATGTGTGGCCTGTCTTGAGGATATAGAGGGGAAAAGTCTGCATAGCTTCCGGTGATTAGTGGCAATGGAATGGAGATACAGAACCGCAAAGCTCACATTCATACTTGGAAGTCTTTTCAATTGGCCATTTTCGTAATGTAATCAAATTGAATGAACAAATTTAAATAGTCAGAATGCGAATTGCTTATGTTACTTGTTGTTAGGTAGGACAAGCTATGACGTTTGCCCTACCTAGCAACAATCAATGTATGATAACATTACGCATATGTTCGTTTGAAGAAATTTTGTTTTATTCGCAACAGGTGAATGAAATGATTAGTAACGAGGCACTGAACAAAGATTTGTGCATTAAATTTGTTTACATTACCAAAATGGCCTATATAGCAAGTTTCCCCAGATTGTTGAGTTGATTTTTTTGGAGAAAAAAAAGTTGCAACCATGCTTTAATTATATACATATATATATATATAAACATAGAACACATAATTTAATGTTGATAATCCTCCGTCACGGGAATATACAAACTATAAATAAAAGGATCGAAATACTAGTCGTTGCTTGGCGACGGAATTATCATATTATGTATTGTTACATCATAGTTAAAATCATTTCATGTCAATCTCTATCTCCATTTGCGTGTAGAGAAAATAGAAATAATTTTGTAAATCTACAATATTTTAACACGACTGACCTCATCCGTTTCATCTTCTCCTGTTTCTGGAGCACAGCTACAGTCAGGTACCTGTTCCTCTTCTTCAACTGGCTCCGCTCCTTTACAGCACGTGTTCCCATCCATACTCAATATTAATTCACAAACAGGCGGTTAAGCGACTTTGTTTCTTGTTCAAAAACACTTGCAATGCGACGAACATTCGATATCGAACTGTGCGAAACGCTGACCGAAGTGAACTGGCAAGCCTCGAATATCCTTGGTACTATTGCATCTCGAGCATTGTAGTGAATACAAATTCGGGAGGGGCGCTACTCTGATCATACTCGTACTTCACATGGAATGTGCCACTGATCTTTAGGGGTTAGTTCACATCAGTGCTATGTTCTACTGGGTCGCTCAAATCCCGACCCATTAAAAAGGGAAGATTTCTTCACTTTAAATTGACCTAGGTTTATTTCTTGAAAATCGTTGCGATCGTGTTTCTTGAATATCGGGATTACCTTATAATTAAAACAATTTTGTTTGTGTTTTGTAGGGGATTCAAACAAATATTGCCGAACAGACTTTGATTATTAAGGCCTTTGTCCAGAATACGTGTTCACTTTGAAACCGTTTCGATTTCAGTCAAAGCCCCCTCGCCGCGCTAGTGAACATAATGACGACGTGTTTTCATCGTGTGCCCCACTTTGAATTGAATGACCCCCCCCCCCTTCTCCCTCTATCACGTAACGGTTCAGCCAGAGGGTAACCTGTCTTTGATAGGTACGCACTACCGCTATAGAAAATGGCGTTTTAGATTGATGTGACTGTTAAAGATAAACTTTACTACTGGTAATGCGATTGCATTGTGAAAGAAAAGGTGTGGAAAGGATCAGAAACAGTTGATCAACTTGATCATGTAGCATGAAAGTATTGGTGTGCACTGCAAGGTTCTGGAGTCATCATAATCATAATAAATTTGACCGAGTCTTGGTAAAGTAACAAGCACTCACATAGAAAGCTATATATGGGACAACACACATGGTGTCGGGGCTAGTACTACCTTGATTTCCTTGTCTTTCTATGCTCATTACTCAGCCAGTATACATTTTCTTCCAAAATTGTTTGGCACATGTCATTTATTTGTAATCTTGAACATTCAGTGTGAGTTTCGTTTGATTCTGTGAGAATTATTATTTTTTTTTTACCAATGAGTACTGGAGTTTATCTTTAAAACCGACTCGATTCTGGCAGTGGACCGTCACTCATGAACAAATTTGACCCACATTCGGCCAAAAGATCAATGAGGCATTTTGTGTACCTCCCACACAGACGACGAACAATCGAGTGCACTAGAGCGTAACACCAAGGTGCCGGACTCGTCGATTTTTATGAAATAGGGGTTTATCGTAGAAAACTGGTGAGAGTGTGAATGTCAACACCGCTGTGCGAGCGTGAATTGTCAACTCTCTCTCTCTGTCCATGTCCATGCTCTGTCTCTCTCTTCCCTCTTCTTCTCCCGAAAAAAAGAAAAAAAATCAGGAAATTATATATGTTAGTCTAGTAGATGCAGATGCACATCACAATGCATAAGTCCATTGTAATCCCTCCGTCTAAGATGGGCGGGATCACCCTGCAATATAAATACGCGATTCCTTCACTAGCAAATCGCCATGAATATTTAGATCTGCTCATAAAGCGAGTTCAGAGTGCCATTAATTTGCTAAATTTCAGGAAAACTAAAGAATTCAGTGTCTCGTGAAAGATATAATCTAATCCCTCAGAGGTAGTTTTCACATGAAGATTCTTGTTTTCTGGGGAAGGGGGCTTCGGGTTCAAATTTTATTCAGGTTCTACAGAGAGGGGGATTAAGTTCCAACCCCCTCGTAATCCTGGTGTGTTTCTCGACTCGAATATGACAAGACTACACAAATTCAATATGTCTTAAAAACAATACGTTATTAGTAACGCAAGCTAGGTTTTATTCATAAATATCTAATCCGTAGTGCCACTAAGAAATATACCCATACTTTTAATAATCTTACCCCACTTGGATTTTTGTAATGGCCTTTTGTTTGGTTCGCCTTACAACCTACTCGCAAAATTAAAAACATCACATAATGCTGCTGCTCGTGTCGTAACCCACTGCAACAAGTACAGTGACATCACACTAGTCCTCAAATCACTCCTTTGGTTGCTCGTAGAAGAACGTTTTGTTTTCAAACTTATTTTGTTATTATTTCACTGTATAAATGGCTTTGCTCCGCAGTACAACATTGTCTTGACTAAGCATTACATTCCCTCTAGCCAGCTACGTTCCCAAAATTCTGGCTTACTTGTTACTCCTAGGGTTGACACAAAGTGGGGGAGCAAATCTTCGCTCATGCTAGGCCGTCATTACGGCCGGAATACTCTCCCTCAATTGATTACAAATAGCAGTTCTGGTGAAGTGTTTAGAAATTGTGGTAAATTTATGATGAAAGATAAGACAAACAACTTCATTACATGAAAATTTACAAAAATATTGAGACTATCAAGTTGTTTTTGTCTTCTTTTTAACAATCAAACTTGATGAATATCAGATAAATCTAAAAGTATATAAAGTGTATAAATGCAAGAAATAAATATGGTGAAAAATACATGGGAAAAACAATCTTGAAAGAAAAAGAATGAACTATAAAAAGTGTGTAATAAACGAGAAATGTATATTGGCCATCAATTTAAGTGCACAAAGTGCTAATTTGAATGCTACAAATGAATTCGAATGCTAAAAGTACACCTTCGCGATGTCAGAAATCGTGTTTTTTGAAATCGAATGACCAAATAGCGAAAGAAGCACATTATTCATTAATTTGAATAAAACATACATAGATTCTAACGAAAACTCCATAGATCTGAAAAATAGAAAAAGGAATATAAACCCAAGATATATCTGACAGCACTAAAATCGTCGAATTTGAACGCAAGACAAATTAATTTAAATGACAAACTTGCGAATTTGGCCGGAAAATCCTATATTATTATTAATATTACTAGACTACACTTCATTTTTATTACCATAGGTTCTCAAAATTCGAAGGCGGTGTCCGGGGCAATAATTTATCTCCTGTCCACGCAGTACAAACAACGATCCATCCGCTTTTTAAACATGGACCTATATATATTTTTTTTATTCCCTTCATTTCGGGTTTGTATTTATTATCTCGATTAACTTACCTACTAATGCACATTCTTTGCCAATCTATAATCATTGCACACCACACAACTACTCTATCTGTATCAAAGTTTAAAAGTCTATTCCTCCACAAACAATTATACTTGATTCAAATACGCCCCAGCTGCCAACTGGTGGACCTACGTTCCCGGTAGGGTCACTCAATGTGACTTCCGGACCGCATGATCGTTACCAAAATCGCGGAAAAAGGGGTCAATTTCAAGCAATGTCCGCGGACAAAATATTCCTCGAAATTAAGAAAATAGGGGTGCACAGGTGTCCCCGAATTTGATAAATAGGGGTCAGGAAAAGTGAAAAGAGAAAACCGGGAAGGGAAAAGAGAAAACCGGGAAGAAATTCTCGGAGCCGAGTCTTGTCCTTGAAATATGGTAAAATAGGGGTAAATTTGCGAAAGTGTCCTTACAATCTTATAAATAGGGGTATTCCAAAGTACGATTTTGTCCTTGTTTTGACGTAAAAAAGGGGGTAAAATTTCACAAAATGTCCTTGAAATTGACCGCAAAAGGGGGTTATATGCATTGGTGGTAACGGTCATACGTGTCACTCTTTGCAGGGGAGTGACCCCACCGGGCCTACGTTATGACTCTGCTATATGTATAGGCTAAAGCGACGTTTTTGAATATCACAGAAATATTCTTCATTTGTATTATTTTTTTTCATTTCACACTGTTCTCTCTATCTAATTTATGGCATGACATAAATCTGGTTATATTTAGTTCTGGTTTCTGTTAATAAATTTCGCATAATAGTGTAGGCTTATTGTAATCAAAATCCTAATGCCAATATAGAACAAAAGGGTTCTCATGACTGGCCAAATTCTTGGTCATATTTCACACCTATGTCAGCCTGAGACCGCGAGACCCTATTTGTCCGTTTCGTGGACTTTCGATCTCATTAAATCTAAGCCTCAGATGACTTTAACAAATCTAAAAATATCTACAAATTCTTCACATAGTAAGTCTATTAAATATTCATGTTAAACATCTTAATCCGATCAACAGCGAATTCTAAGGAATCGTTTAAAGTTATCCCTGAACCGCTTATTCGTGGCAGCGTAAAGGAATGGGTTGATGCAGGAATTAAACCATTGAAGAGATTCAAGGATTCGAAAAACTGTTTCACTCACGCAGTCATTACAGTAAAGGGAGTAAAGGAGACTTATTTCGTACGGCATCCAACACATGGTAAAGACAACAATCAACATTGCTAGCCTGACGGCGGCACGTAAGTTCTGTCTAAATCGGATCTGAAGGTCGCGCATCTTATCTTGAGGGCGCTGTTGACTGTCCTTCTTTCCTGATATCATGAAGACCACTCTCTCGTTTGGTGGGGCCATGCAGACATCGCGCACACGTTTTGAGTGAACCAATTCAGAATCTCCCGATGGCCGATTGCAGGGCACTTTGATCTTTTGGAATAACTTTGAGTGATTCCAGAGGTGCACAAAGATAAGAATGTTCAATGTGGCAATGGTGACCAGAGGTATATACCCGGTTAGAGCGCCCAAGATTAAAGTAGCTAGCACGGATTGCTGAAAGGCAGGGTCGCATAATTCATAGTTATCAACCTCATATCCTGGAATTGAATCCCAACTTATTATCATGACGCTGTACGTCACGAAAATTGTGATCCAGGATGCCGCTAGCATTTTCCTAATTCTACCTCGTGTCTGGAATGATTTATATTTAATATTCTTCTTGACTATCCAGTAACGATCGAAACTAATGCAGAGTATCATGGACATGGACAATACAACAGCAATGTAATCTGCAATCAAATAAAACTTGCATCCATACTCTCCTAAGTCCAGATAGTCGTTATTGATATGGAAAGCTAGTGGATGCATCAGTGAACAGGTTCCCACCAAAAAGTCCGCGATAGATAGATGAAGGATGATGAGGTTTGAAGCTTGCTCTCTGATCTTCTTGTCCTTGGCATAAGCAATCATAACCAAAAGATTTCCAACAACAGTTACAGTCATGAAAGTCGCCCATCCTCCTATTATCAAATACTTTCTGTAGACATCGCTAACTGTTGGGTCAGATATCGAGGAGTTGCTACAGCTGATGGATGATTGAATCATTATGTCAATTTTAAAGCAGTGCTTTTTTCTTTAAAATAGAGTGGTATTGGTTTCGTGCGATACCACTTGAAATAAGATGAAGAAAGTGATTTTAACAAATTAATATTAAAGCACTCGCAGAATAGAGCGCGATCCCTGGCTGTACAGTCATCCGATGCATTATGGTTATGATTGAAGTATTGTATAACTCCCGACGATTCGGTTCATTACGCATGCACAGAAATGAACATTGGCGTTTATCTACTGGGCCCTGTTACATAAAACATATTATCAATACCAACTTACGATAATTGTTATAAGCTACCGGATTTCTTGCATTTTGATTGGCTGTGAGCAGTATCGTCTTCAATCTGTAGCAGTTCTTATTAATAACAAGTTTTATGAAACTGGGCCCTGGTATGGATTGACAACA